TGTAAGGCTTTTCTGCATCCCTTAGCTGCAGCCTAGGCTGCCCAGGGACTCCCTTCCCTGGGGGCAGGTTTTTCTTTTCATTGTTTAATTTTTTCTATTCCTTTCTTAATTAATTTTATATTTTGTCCGTGTGTGGGGGGGGGGAGGGGTTGTCTGGAAGAACTTGGCAAGTGAGAAGTGCAGGACAGACAAGGTGGGGGAACAAGGTAGGGTCTCTGAGGGGTTCCCAATGTCAGGCCAGGAGATGGCCTTGCGGGAGTCACGGGTGTTGCTGTCTGCTGTGACAGCTGCAACATGTTTGCCCTTCTCCCTCAGGAGAGGCAAGGATATACTTGCCCTCCGTGCAAGCTTGTGACCCTCCTAGAGGAGGAGGTGAGGTGTCTGAGGGCCGAGAGAGCAGGCCCCCTGGGAGGATCAGGGCTCTAGGGCCAGGGTTTTAGAGGTACTGCAGGGGCTGACAGGACTCCTACGAAGAGGGGGCCGGTATCATGAAAGATGGGAGGAAGGAGGAGGCTGGGGACTCCAAAGAAAGGAAGCTGTGGGAAGGAGTTGAGGTGCATGTACACCAAAGCTAGGAGAATGGGTAAAAAGCAGGAAGAGCTTGAAGCTTTCCTGGGTATAGGAGGGTATGACCTGTTGGGGATCATGGAAACTTGGTGGGATGAAAGGCAAGACTGCAATGTAAACATAGAGGACAGGAAGGGAAAGAGGGGCGGGGGCATAGCTCTATATGTCAGGGAAGGGATAAGATGCAGTGAGACAGAATGCAGCACAGATGGGGATCTGGTAGAGCCAGTCTGGGTGAAACTAAAGGGTTTTGACAGGGAGAGGGATCTGACAGTGGGGATATGTTATTGCCCTCCAGGTCAACTTGAGACCCTGGATGATGTCCTGACAGATCAGATTCTAAGGATATCTCAGGAGAGGGACACAGGAATAATGGGGGATTTCAATCTCCTGGATATTAGTTGGGAGACTCACTCAGTGGTGACAGCCAGGTCACGTTGCTTCCTAGACGCTATAGAGGAAGGGTTTTTCATGCAGAGGGTCTGAGAGGTGATGAGCAGGAGGCAACATCCTTGACTTGGTTTTGACCAACAGGGAGGAGCTGATAGATGAGGTACAGATTAGGGGAGCTCTGAATGTGAGTGATCACTCCATCCTTTGCTTTGAGATCAGGGGAATGGGGACGTGAAGCAGGTCAAGCACTAGAAGCTGGGACTTCCAGAGGGCCAACTTTGGCCAACTGAAGGCCAAAATGGGAAGTCTCCTGGGATAGGAAACTGGAAGGCAAGGGAATTGAGGAGGGGTGGATGGCACTCAAAAGGGAGGTTTTGGAGGTGAAAGCCTTGACAATACAGTGGTACCTTGGCTCACAAACTTAATCCGTTCCATGACTCTGGTTGCGACCCAAATTGGTCATGAGCCAAGTCAAATTTCACCATAAGGTTCAATGTCAATAAGGTTAATCTGCTCTGTAACTGCTGCAATTGAAACAAAGTGACAAAGAACAACAAAGATCGCGGCCATCTCCCCCGCCCCCAGCACAACTGCAGTTGCGCCCGTCTTCCCTGCACAAGTGTGACTGTGATCGCAGCCATCTGCCCCCCCCCCACCAAGCACGAATGCGGCCATCTTCCCACTGAGCATGACCGCGATCATGCCCATGCAGGGAAGGCGGGCGTGATCGTCACCCGTTGTGGAGTTCGCAACCTGAGGCAATTTTTTTCTGAAATTTCTGTTCATGACCCGATTTGGTCATGAACTGAGGCGTTCGTGAGCCGAGGTACCACTGTACCTCTAGTTAGTAAAGTGAGGAGGCGAAGGAGAATGCCGCCATGGATGCAAAAGGAGGTGGTTAGAGGGATTAGACGCAAGAGGAACCTCTGTAGGAAATGGGCACTGGGGCAAATAGACAAAAAGGTATACCGGGAGGAGGAGGCCCATTGCAGAAGGACTCTTCGCAAGGCTAAGGCGAGTTACGAGCTGAGACTTGCCAAGAATATCAAGAGCAACAAAAAGGGCTTCTGTCAGCATGTAAATAGCAAGAGGAAGAGGAGACAAGTAGTGGGACCACTAAATAAGGAGGAAGGGGATCCAGTGACTGATGCGAGGGAACAGGCACAGAAGCTAAATGACTCTTTTGCCTCTGTGTTCTCCCCAAAGCAGGACAGGGGAGGTCCGCATGGGGACTTAGGGGCACAGATTAGAGTCACCCTCCTAGAAGTCGGGCTCCTCAGGGCATTGGATGTTAGAAATGTGCCAGGCCCTGATGGGTTACACCCGAGAATACTTTGAGAGTTGGCAGCAGTTCTCTCACACCCAATGGCCCCCATTTTTGAGGCCTCGTGGAGAACGGGTGAAGTTGCAGAGAACTGGAGGGTGACGTCAGTGGTCCCAGTTTTCAAAAAGGGCAGTAGACGGGACATGGGGCATTACAGACCAGTTAGCCTTACGTCCATTATAGGAAAAACAAGGGAAGGGCTCATAATAGCAAGAGATCTAGTGATGCCAGATAGGGAAGGGAGGCTGGCAGCCACACAACATGGCTTCTGCAAAAACAGGTCCTCCCAGACAAACCTTGTGGAATTCTATGACAAGGTTTCTAAGGGGCTAGACGGAGGAGATGAAGTGGATGTGGCTTACCTGGATTTCAGCAAGGCCTTTGACAAAGTGCCCCATGATATCCTGGTGGAGAAACTGAGGAGTTTTGGGATAGACCAATGCACTGTCCAATGCATTAGGGCATGGCTGACTGACCAAAAGCAGAGGGTAACCACTGGGGAATCATCGGGATGGTGACCAGTGACAAGCGGGGTCCCCCAGGGCTCTGTCCTGGGGCCGATCCTGTTTAATCTTTTCATTAATGACATGGAAGAAGGGATGAGCAGTCTGCTGATCAAATTCGCAGACGGCACTAAAACTGGAGCAGTGGCCACAACTGAGGAGCAGGTACTCCAGATCCAAAAGGATCTGGACAGACTATGGAAGTGGGCAGGAGACAACAGGATGGTGTTCAATGTGGATAAGTGCAAGGTCTTGCACTTGGGGCATAGGAATGGGTGTCATAAGTACAGGTTAGGGGACAAGCGGCTGGAGAGCAGCACCTGTGAAAGAGATCTTGGAGTGCTGGTTGACTGCAGGCTACGACTCTGGTGCGCCCGCAATTGGAGTATTGTGTTCAAGTTTTGGGCCCCTCGTTACAGGTAGAATACAGTATACCCCCCATGAAGTCACGGCTCAGTGTTCGTGGCCTCAGTCTTTCGCGGAATTTTCCTCACGGTGCAGCAGTTTGTTCGCAAGGACTTGCTCAGAGAAAACAATCTCTGCCTGCGCCTGCCCTTACCCCACCATGCGTGCCCGGCCCAGCCCAGCCCGTGCCCCCCTGCCTTGGCAGCCCGTGCCCATCACCGGCACCTTTCAACTGGCCCCCCAAAAAGTTTGAGGATCCCTGCTCTAAGGTTTCTGGCAATAAACCTTTGCCACATTCAAAATTTGCGGTTTTTCACAATTCGCAGGTGCTCTAGGAATTAAACCCCCGCAAATTTACTGCATAGCCAGGTTAGAGTCAGTGCAGTGTAAGGCCACAAGGTTGGTGGCTGGTTTGCAGGGAAAGCCGTATGAAGCGAGACTGAGGGAACTGGTTTTTTTTCAGCCTGGAGGAGATTCAGAGGGGATCTGTTGGTGACATACAGGTAAGTGAGGGGGTGTCACACAGAGGTGGGTAGAGACCTGTACTCCCCTGCAGAGGAGGGCAGGACGGGCTCCAACGGAGGGAAGCTCAGGGAATCAAGGTTCAATTTGGATGCCAGGAAGTACTTCCTGACAGTTAGGACCCCGAGGGTATGAAATGGGTTTCCATGGGAGGTGGTTAAGGCTCCATTAGTGAGGGTGTGCAAGGATAGGCTGGGCATGCCCATGGTGGGCACGTCATAAGCAGAGCCGGCTGGAGCTGGGAGTCAGACTAGATGGCCTGGGAGACCCCTTCCAACTTGCTCTGTTTCTATATTAGGAATCTGGTGTGAAGAGGGATAAAACAAACATCACATTCTAGAGGAACTAGTGTATTAGGCTACTGTAGCAATAAAATAAGGAGTCTGATGACCTCAAAGGCCAAAAGAATTGTTACTAGATAAATTTTCATGGATTAAAAGCCACTTCAGCAGATGTATCACATGTTCCTCAGTTGGAAGGTGCCAGCAACAGAAGAAAAATGTGTGAATATTGAAGCCAAAACACTGTCAGCTACAGGGAAGTAAAAGAAGGTGTGTCACAGTCCACAGAGTCCAAATGTATGCAATGTAACAGTGAACCATTCATAACAGTACTCACTGGTAATCAGGTTACTGTTATATTGCCTACATTCAGTTTCTTGCATAAAAATGTCAGAGACTTACAAATATCCTTTTGCATTTCATAGCTTTTTGGTCGTATTGTTAACAATAATTTCTCTTGTCTGCACCTATCTGTGCTAATGGGTACATAATCCGCACCCAAGGATAACACTCCATAAACTAAGAAAGTGGCTTCTACTCCATAGAATCTGTTGCTCACTAAGTCTATCACAGGACTAGTTGCCCATTTTCAGCTGTATGAAATGTAACAAGCCCTCAAAGCCACATAACAAGAACAGATATATTAACGAAGAATTCTTCAGCATGTTAAAAGCTATCAGAAAATAGCATGGCATAAGCTCACTAGGGCTACAGCTGGCTCCATGAGATGCAGTTTAGAGCTTACTAGAACTCTTCTGCTGGCAAAAGAAAGGGCAAGAAAAGACGCACTTCTCTGAGTGAAAGCAAGAAAAAATAGTAGATTGTGCAGATTTTTTCAGATCATTTTTACTACATGCATTCTTTAGCGACGCCGGGAACTATGCTAATAAAACTCAACGTCCTCGCCATCCAGTCCAGTAAGCTTGCTTTCCTGCCCTCATCCTCCACGGAGTCTTAACCCACCAGGAGTCTCACCCCGCCCCACTTCGTCTTCCTTCTCCTTACCTGGTTGGCGACGTCAGCGGGCAGCCCCCGAATAAGCACCTTGCGTCGGTTACGGAACTGCCGGGCGCTTCTCTCCAGGCGGCTCGTCACCTCGGCCGGCTCCAGCGGCGGAAACACTTCTTCAGGAGCATTAGCCGAGCCTTCCTCTAAGCTGGGAGCTAACTCGGCAGCGGCAGCCGCTCCCACAGAGAGCCCAGCGGCAGCCGCTAGCGCCGCCATCTTGGAAGCGAGCTAGCGTCTTCCTCCTCCTCTCTCAGGGTAAGATCAACGAGAGGGAGAGGCGGGAAAGAACGGCAGCGGAACTACGGATGCAGCCCATTGGTCCAGAAAGTCTCCGCCCATTACCGGGACTGCAGTTAGACGAGTCGTCCAATGAGAAGGTGGGTGTGAATTAACCCTTCGTCGGGCAGAGTAGGCGAGCTTGACGCTTCTGGGTCCCGCGGATGAATTCGCGGCTTAGACCTGGATTTAAATCTCGGCAGGAGTGGCGGCACGGAAGCGGCAAAGAACTTCTCGGGCAGGACAGCTTTGTGCGGCATACTAAATAACGGTTTATTTCATATCCTAAACATTTATTTGAAGTAAGTCCGATAGATTTGTCAATGTAGTTTTCCAGTAACTGTATTTAGGATTGCTGCCTTATTTTAACTTCCAGTTTATGCTTCAGTTATCATTTCTACAGAGGTCCAATAACTGGCGGTGGGAAGAGAAAAAGAAATACTTGTTTGGGATAATACATGCCCCTCCTCCTCCAGAGCTACCCGTGTGCAATGGGCTGCTGCCCCAGATCGCTGCGACACCCCGATTATTGGTACTGCTACAAAGAAATCCCGCCACCCCTTAGAGCCCTGGGCTTCTGCTGGCGCCAATGAAATTTTCTCTGTCTCTGGCGGGATTGCAGTTGAGGGGGGGGGGGAATAGCCCTCCTTTTACTTTTCTAATACAGCCATAGTCCTTTCCCAGAATTCCCGCCCCCGTGCATAGCAATGAAGCTTAGAATAAACTGGTGCCCGGGAGGGGTTATTTTCCGCTGAGTTTAAAGGCCAGCCCGGTGTGGGAGTTTCTTTAAGGTACAGTAGTAAGAGAAGACGGAGATGACGCTCTCCTTGCGTACTTTGGCTTGCCCCCATTTCTCTTCATGGCAATTACGCCTAGGAGGAAAAATTCGGTAGTGCCAAGGGAACTCCCCCCTCTCCTTAAGTTTAATTATACGGACTGAGCAATTTATCTGTTGGAAGGAGAGAGAGAAAAACGGAATTAGAAATGGGCGGAGAAAAATGTGTTTACTGCCCCTGAAAATGTTAAATAATTTGGACAGGTGGTCCTTTTTCCAGGTACTCCCCAATGTGTCTTACATCCTGAGTTTATGCCAGGGTGGTATAGTTTCTCCTGAACTTTGCCTCTTTTTCTCTTATATTTTGCAAAGTTGTGACACTAAATCTGGGGCTTCTTCGTTATGTCTTCTTGTAACTATGTGTATATGTTAGGCATGAATTTCCATTTGGAGAAAGAGCCCAGAGACTGCAGAGCAGAGAAAGGATAATGACTGCCAAACATCTACAACCCATCTCTCCTAATTCTTCCATGTCTTTTCAGGTCCGCTATGTTTTTTCCATACTGCCCAGTCTTTTCTTGCTTTGATTTCTACTCCCAAATATGCCTTTTCCTTCCTTATCTTCCTTGTCTCCTTCCTGTACATCAGAATTGGGAAACCTCTTTTGGCTCAAAGACCAAATACTAATCTGTAGAAGCTCTTGGAAGCTACACTGCAGTGGTGGCTGGGACTGAAGGCAAAAGAGATGGGCCTAAAATGCCAGTATATTGTAGTTTAAAGCTTTTACTGACAGCCTTATGAGAAGCATTTCAACCCTTCAATCAGAGGAAAAGTGCATTAAAACCAGGAAACAGATGGCTACTGAACCTGAGCTTCTTCATTCCTGCTTGACCTTTTCTGTCCACCCTCCACCCCTCAGACACTTGAATTCTTCAGTGGAATTGTGCATGACATATTTTGAGGCAATTTACAAAATAATAATTTTAATGGATGTTATTTGAAAAAGCAAAGGAAAAAAGATGGGATACACATATTAAATAATTGAATAATTGTTCCTGTTTTGGAGCAGAATCTGAGTGGGAAAAGGAGAAAGAAGATGATCTTTTGATTTCCTCTGACTTTCCTTTGGATTAGTACTCTGTAAAATTTTAGCTGTAGCTGAACTGATTCATCTATAATGACAGCCCAGAGAACAGGCCAAATTATGGGTTGTCATAATATGTGAACCCTTCACTATGGCTTAGCTTTGGGTTGTTGATCACAAATCCAGAGTTCACAACCCAACAACAAGGTATGAGTTTTCTTTTGGCCAGTTTGCATGACATGGTTGGCAAATATTAACTCATTCATTATGGGGCATGTCAGGAAACATTTTGAATATGCAATACCCATTTTGGGGTTGCAGTGTTCTGTGAACCTAGATACTGTGGATTATCTGAAATTATTTTTTTAAAACCTTGAATGTTTCCAAAACAAACAGAATCACACAGAACTTCTTTAACTCACATGGCAACCCTTGAGTGTTGCCAGCACACACTACCACTCCTTGTAGGTTGAACTTCCTCTGATCTGGATTGCTGTGGTGGTCAACCCATAGTTAAATTGTAATGCAGCATTTGTATATAATTACAACTCAGAATTCAAAGCTGTCACATACTCTGGCCTACATTCTGGGCAAACCAGGGCTTTCTGTTGTATGTGCGTGCACACAAGAAAAGTCTCATAAAAAAAACCCCCATCAGCCATCTTTTACATTTTTCTTTTACACTATTGTTAATTGAAGAGAAAGTGATCTGGGATGGGATGGAAAGTGATTCAAGTATTTACTGAAAAATCATAATTCCGAAGGGCCAAACACCACTGTAATAACTTGTTTGGAATGTTTGGCCTTCCCTCCTGCCAACCTTGCAGTTCGAAAGCATGCAAATGCAAGTAAATAGGTACCTCTTTGGTGGGAAAGTAGCAGCGTTCCATGCACTTCGGTATTTAGTCATGTTGGCCACATGACCACGGAAACTGTCTGCAGACAAGCGCTGGCTCCCTTGGCTAGGAAACAGAGATGAGCACCGCCCCCTAGAGTCAGGCATGACTGGACTTAATGTCGAGGGGAAATCTTTACCTTTAACCTTTTTACTAGCACAATGGGAGGTTAGCATGCTAAAGCCCTTTATGAATGAAGAGATGGGCTTACTGGAGGAATGTCATTGGAGAGAGAGAGCTACCTCTTCTTCTTGAGTGTAGAGCAGCAGGTGAAATTATAGGATGTGCTGTAGGCCTTCTTAGAATATAGTTTATAATAAATCAGTCCAGGGATTGGACTTGGTGGCCTTATAGGCCACTTCCAACTCTATTTTTGATCAAGGATCACCCTCCTCTTCAACTGATACTGTACTAGGTAAATGGGGCAGCATACCCAGAATATTGCTATGGAATTAAAGTAGATGCTGACCCTTTGTGTGATTCAATCCTCCTCAATTAGTAAGCCCATCAAATACAGGCAAGTTGTTCCAAGATTGGATTTTTTAAAAGACAGGAATATTTTAAGAAGAGCCCTGCTGCTCTCTTAAGTGATCCCTGCAGTTGTTGAAGATTATGACTGGGTGTGGGTGGTGTTCATGTTGTGTGAATCTAGATGTTCTAGAACAACCCAGAGTTCACAACCCAACAGCAAACCATGGTCTGATAGCTGAGTTCAACACAACCACCATCCACAATTCAGCCCATATGCTGTACTGGTAGTCCTGTTGTGTTATCAGCCTCTAAAGCTGAAGTTGCTAACACTACCTTAGAGTCACACTTTAGAATGGCTCTGGTCAGTTGGTTATCCATTTGCAATTGTATAATATAATAGGGTTTCTGGTTCTGAGTGTCGTCATTCCTCCAGCACTCTCTCCCCACTCCCTCCATTTCTGAAAAGAGGATTCTTCCTTTTTTGTTTCTGTACATATATTCTATTCGGGCCTGATGCTTTTTATAAGAGATCAGGTTGTTTGAAGCCTCCTCCACCTTTGTCCTAGGGGAATTGCTCAAGAAAAAAAACAGCGAGCCAATCCTTCACTGCCAGAAAAAAAAAATCATTCAAAATGCAGACTTTTTCTTCCTCTACCTTTCTTCTTCCTTTCCCATCCAGTTGTTTTTTTAAGCATTGCCATCTCTTTCATCATGGCATCCTGTATTCATATAAATATTTTCCTTCTCATCCTTTCTTCCCATCCTTTTTCTTTCTCCACAAGAATGTTCTCAAATCTTGTGTCTAGAAACCCTCTCATCTACAAATAGACCTAGCACAATAAAGATGTAGAACAGGGGTCCTCAAACTTTTTCAACAGGGCCAGTTGAAAGGTGGCAGTGGTGAGTGCGGGCTGGCAAGGTGGCGGCAGCGGGCGCGGCGAGGCAGGTGGCTTGCTCGCTCAGAGATCGTTTTCTCCGAGCGAGTCCAAAACCTCTGAGGTAGGCTGGAAAATGGACATGGCGGGCAGGATCTGACCCGCGGGCCGTAGTTTGAGGACCCATGATGTAGAATCTTCCCCTTACTGGTGGCATGTTTTAGTATATTTAGATGTTTAAATGAAATGAAATGAAACAGCCTGCATAGTATAGTGCCTAGAGTGTTAGACTGAGATCTGGGAGATCAAGGTTCTAGTCCCTATTTAGCCAGAAAGTTCACTGGGTGACTTTGAACCAGTCACAGACTCTCAGTCTAACTTATTTCACAAGCTTGTTGCCAGGAAGATTATGTAAATTCCTGGAAGGAAAAGAGCATAATAGAAGTATAATAAATTAATACTTAATGGTATATGAACAACTGAACCTTAAAGTAGTAAAATCATAGAAACATAGAAACAGAGCAAGTCAGAAGGGGCCTCCCGGGCCATCTAGTCTGACCCCCAGTTCCAGCTGGTTCTGCTCACGACATGCCCACCATATGCATGTCCAGCCTATCTTTGAACATGTTTTTCTTAGAGTAGGCACACTGAAATGAACCAGACCAATAGGATTAATTTCGACAGATCTCCTTTAAGTAGGACTAATGTTGAATTTAAACCCTACTGACTGGAGCCTAGAGTCTCATCTCTCAGGATCCACAAGATTGCATTTACATGTATATTGATGACACCATACACAAAATGGATAGCCCTCCATAGTTTGGCTGTCTATTCTAAACAATTTTGTAAGACCAGTAGGTTTTTTAAGAAGCAGTCCATAGTAATCAAGACTCCAAAGCTACTAAAAGTTATATGACGTTTATTTGAAGAAAATGTAAATGATCTTCCCAGGATATTACATTTAGCTCTACTAACACAGAGCACATTCACATTACAGCAAGATTTCTGTGCACATTCTCTCTGCACTCACACACTCTCCCCGTCCCATAAACACTCACTCCCCACCCCACCCCCCACCGCCATACACACATCCAGAAGTACAGCAGCTTTGGCCACAGACAGAGCAAGAAAGGCTGAGCTGAAGCTTGCCCATCCTTCCGTGGAAGAAGTCCTTGCCTCAAATCTTCAGTGCAGTTCCAGATGCAAAAGGCACAATGCTGTGAAGTTTTGCAGTTTAGCTTTGTAAGATACTTTTCAGCTAAGACAGGTGGCATTGTTCCACACTCCAGAGATAGGGCTGGTAGTGCAGGCTCATGGTGCAATTCTATACCCAAAAAATAAAATGTACAGGGGAGGGGAAGATAAGACTAGTTTTAAGGCCAATAACACAAGTTTACCAATAGGTGCGCGTACAATTCTCAAATAAGTGATTAACACCATGAGTTTTATGAATAGCTCTTTGTCTTTTAGACTTGTAAACAAATTTGAGTCCTTCTAGTATCACAGACCAAGTGAAAATCATTTTTAAAAACCTATCAAGTTTATTACCTAAGGAACTGTTTGGGGTCATGGAAGGGGTTTATGCTTATACAATGGAATGGGGTTTAAAAAACGAACAGCTAATGCCACAATATATGGCAAACTGTTTTTAAAAATCTTTTCAACATCAAAAGCTATTTACCAAGCACAATGGGAGGGATTGAGGAAAAATCAGCCCCCAAAAATCTTACAGCCTATATACACGAATACCTAATAAGACATACTTCCAAATAAACATGCATAGGATTGCATTCCACAACTCCCAAAGGCTCACAGAACTAGTTTCATAATTTTCTCAGTCCTGATCTATGTATGCTACGAGTGGGTAAGGAAAGTAATGCAGTGGCTCTTATCTTCCTTGTGGAAGGTCTTGATACATTTGACTGGCTCTACCCACACTTCAACCCCTATCCCAGAAACAGTATTTGAACCATGTCAACATGAGTTTGGCCCCTGAAACGAAGTCTGAAAGCTATGCTCATCCAATGCTTCATGCTGCCACACCCTGTTGTGTGATGAGAGCCTTCTAGGGAATCTACCAAAGTTTTGTCTGGTCAGTCTGCAATGGATTTAGAGTTGCCAGCTGTCATTTCCAAGAACTGTACACTTCTGTATTTGTTCTCATTTTCTTTGGTAGGCATTTCCCTAATCAGATCCCCAGGAAATAAATGTTCAGCACTGAGTGTTTTAGGATACCCCTGCCTCCTCCAATTCTGGCCATTTGTTACTCAGAGCTGTACATCAATATACATATCAGTCAAGAGTTCAAAATCTCAGCTTGGCTAAAAATGAACAATAACCCCAAGCTCCTGACTCTTCCTGCATTCCCTTTCTCTTCATTGCCTTCCTTCAAAGTGGTAAGCCTCAACTAAGTAACCACCTAGAAACAGAATAGGGATTGCTTTGAGCCTTTGGTGAATTGGAATGGCAGGAAAACATGCAGGGATAAGCACTCTCATCTGGTCCCTTCATAGCTCTAAGTGGCTTGCACAGCATAGCCAAAGTATAAATGATTGTTGATCATTCCTTTCATTCTGTGAGAAGGGAAATTTAAAACACTCTTGAAATACTTAATTCTTACAGTACTGTTTAATGATATTAAGAGCCACCTAAAAGGCAGGTCAACAGCCGTCCTCCCTCCCCTCTTTCTCAAAGCAGAAACAGCCTGGAACAGGCTCGTTAATAATGTGTAGTTTCAGGTTTGCCAAAACAGTCCCCAGTCCTCAGTTATGAAGAAGGGACAGGATCCCAAGAGTGCAAGTTGGCAAGGGAGGAATTTGTATTGAGGGCAACCATTAGCCCAGCTTTGCAGCACCCTAAAGATCCTGAACATAATTTGGAGCCTGCAACACCTCCAACAGGATCTGAAATGTGCCTATGAAAACAGCTGACTCTGCCCAAACTAGGTTTGGTAAGAATGGAGAATGACTAAAGTTTTGGAATGCAAATAGCTGTGGCTTCAACAGCAAGTAGTATTTTTTTAAACTAAATTAGCTAAGTGACATCACAGCCCTGAGATGTATGAGGCAACTGGGTTTTTTCCTCCCTCCCTCTCTTTCTCTCTCTCTCTCAGGATGTGGGATTCCAGCAGGAACCGCTGTTACTTAGCTACATGATGCCCAGTTTCTAGGCAGTAGCAACCAAGTTAGTGGTCAAAGGGCATTTCCCATAAAACTGTGATATGATTTGAGGCCTACCCTCTTTTTGCCTCCCTCAACTTCAAATTTAAAGCTTCTGATTGATAGAAGCAAGGGGTGGGAAGATTTCTGGTTCAAAACAACCAAATGTTTGAAGAATGGTTCTTGGGACAACAATACAGAAATGTCTGCTTATATTATCTAGAAAGCAAAGTGGGCTCTGACAAAGCTTACACAGCAGGCGAATTCTCATGAGTGCAATGCATTTCTGAAAAAATAGTACCTTTTCTTTATCCCCTTTGGAGACTTCAGGGACATCTCTTTGGGAGCAAACCCAAGACTTCTATATGGGGATACAAAATATGAGCAAACATTCACTTCTCTAGTCAGCTGAGTGTGCATCTGGCTCCACATCTGGATTTCTAGAGGGTTGAGAAGAGGGCCTCCTCCAGAAAGGAAGTGAAAAGATGTCTATACTCTATGTGGAAGATGGTGGAATCGAAGAGATGTAAGAGCCCCAGCAATTCTGAAATACACAGATACCAGGTGAATGGGAACAAAGGCCAGTTCAGGGATTTTTGGGAGTCCAAAGCATTTGCTTTGAAAATAGTCCCAGAAATAGCACATTTCCTTGTAGCAAGAAAGACCTAGTCCAAGAGAAACATTACCTATAGCGATTATTGCGCTTGAAGATCTTGGCTTCCTTCCCAGTCTCTTTTAAATCCAAGCTGCATTATCTGTCTGCAGCAGACCAACAGGCTCAGCAGTCCATTAAAAAGACAACGAAGAAGTCATTTCATTTACTCACTTCCCTGCACCTGTGATATCCTGTATTCAGACTAAGTCTCAAGGCTTTCCAGATTCCTCAGGCCAGAGTTTGGTGCAGCATTATACACTGTTTCATAAGCAACCTCTGCTTATGATGAAAAAAGATGTGGGTTTTCCCTTAAACACCGTCACATTTGGTACACAGAAAAAAAGGGATAAGGCAGAAAACTCTGCGTTGGGGCTCTGAACAACAAAACAGTAAGAGTTCCAACGCATTATGATATTTTGAAGCAGCTTCCATGGCACTGTGGCATTCCAGGCACACACAGACAGTATCAAGACACAGAGTGCAGGTAAGAGTATGGTCTTTGGCTGAAAGTCTTTGCATCCTGCTCAGCACAGGTTGAACACTGAGGGGGCCTGGGCCCTGTACTTTTCATGGAAGGTTCTGAGGATGGGGACAAGGTTTGTGAAGGCTGGCCGGAATGAAGCTTCTGATTCCCAACAGTTTTTCATCAAGCGGTAAATCTGTGGAAAGAGACACAGATTTAGAATAGAAGAGGGACACAGAATAAAAGAGAAAGCTAGCTTAGAGAATGGAACGAAGGCACATGACACAGTTCAGCAGCTAAAGTTAAACAGTACTGGCTCCATCAGTTGTCTGAAAGGGAAGAATATATGAGCCATTCCAAGCTACCTGGAAGATGGAAGAGTTAGCCATTTAATAGAAAATAAATAAAAGAACAGCTGATGGGTCACAGGTGAACGGTTCTGTGGCTTCTGCTCTAAGGGGCTAAAATGGCAGCACCAAAGCTGGTGTACTTCTCTTATACCTCCAACTCTGGGCTTGTGTGCTGCCTCAAGACAACATTCTTGCACCTAACTACAATCTCTGGAGTCACATGCCACATTTACAGAAAGCTAAGCAAAACTTCATATATATTATTAATTTCATTTCTATACTACCCCGCAGCTGAAGATCTCTGGGCGGTTTATACAATCCATAAAAACAGATGATAAAACACAATAAAAATATAAAAATCAGAAAACATTAAAGTTTAAAACAGCTAAAAGAGATTATAAAACAGGCAAGAATGAGAAGAAGAGTGACTCTGCAATCACCTGATGATCTTCCCTAAAAGCCATTGAAAAAGCACTTAACCTGGTGCTGAAAAGATGACAGATATGGCATGAGGTGGCTCATGGTGGAGAGATTATTCCATAAAGGGCCCCCATGGAGAAAGTTGCTACCCTCTGCATTTCCCTTAGACTGCACTCAAGAGTAAGGCAGCATAAGTTGTGAGTAGTGTCCAAGTTGTGAGTAGTGTCCAAGTAGTTGGGAGAAGCACCCCAACAGGTATTGTGGTCCTAAGCCATGTAGGGGTATGCAGATTAAAACCAGCACCTTGAATTAGGGCCAGAGGTATACAGGCAGCCCAATGCAAGTAGGCTAGAACTGGTCTTACGTGCTCAGATCTATGGGTCCCAGTTATTAATCTGGCTGGCACATTCTGCACCAACTGGCAGCTTCTAAACTCTTCAAGGGCAACCCAATTAGATTGCAATAATCTAATTTAGAGATTACCAGAGCAGAGATTGCTGAAACCAGGTAAGGGCACAGCTGGGCCACCAGATGCAGCTGGTGGAAGGCACTCCAAGATACTACAGCCACCTGAGCCTCAAGTGACAAAGACGGATCAAGCAATGAAACTGCTCCTTTCAAGGGAAATGCAAACCCATCTAGACTGAACACCCCCCATCTGGTCAAAAGAACCACCCATCAACTGCATCTCAGTCTTGTCTGGATTAAGTTTCAATTTGTTAGCCCTCATCCATTCCATTGCCACAAACAAGCACCAGTTTAGCACATCCATAGCCTCACTTGCTGAAAAGGAGAAATAGAGCTGCATGTCATCAGCATACTGATGGCAACACACTCCAAAACTCCAGATGACCCCGCTCATCACTTTCAGGTAGATGTTGAATAACATAGGAGACAGAACAGACCCCCGAGCAACTCTGTGCTGGAAAGTCCACAGGGCTGAACAAAATTCCCCAAGCACCACCTTCTGGAGATGGCCCTCCAAGTAGGAGCAGAACAACTGCAATGCAGTGCCCCTTGATTCCCAACTCAGACAATCACCCCAGAAGGATACCATGAATGGTCAACAGTATTGAAAGCTACTGAGAGGTCCAGCATTATTAGCAAGGTCACACTCGCACTGCCTCTCTCCTGGCTTGGCCTGTCATACAAGGTGACCAAGGCTGTTTCCATGCCAAAAGCAGGCCTGAACCCCAATTGAAATGGATCCAGATAATCAGTCTCAACCAAGAATGCCTGGAACTTATTGGCAATCACCCTCTCTAGAACCTTGCCCAAGAAAGGAATATTTGCTATTGATCTGAAGTTGTTTGGATCTTCAAAGTCAAGGAAGGGTTGAAATTATTGGTCAAGGTCAAGGACCACTTCGGAAGTGGTCTCACCATTGCCTCTTTAAGGCAGCATGGAACCACTCCCTCTCTAAGGGAGGCATGACCTCCCTGGCCCAGCCAATTCTCCCTTCCCTGCTGGCTTTTATAAGCCAGGAGGGACAAGGAACTAGTACAGAGGTACATGAACCTGTCCAAGCACTTTGTCCACATCCTTGAGCTGTACCAACCGAAACTCATCCAGTAAAACCAGACCAGGCTGTGCAATGGATATCTCCACAGATTCAACTGCTTATAACTCTGAGTCCAAGTCCTGGCAGATGCAAGAGATTTTTTCTGGGAAGTGTCCAGCAAGTAAATTTCAGTGGGCCTGAAATTCTTCCAAGGTGTCCCTGAGCCAGAATGCACTGAGCCCCAGACAATATTGAAAAGCTCTGCCAGGCAGCAAAGGGAAGATTGGATAGAGGCAGTGAGGTATTATTACATAGGTCTTTATTTCCAACTAGCCATTAAGTCAACCATTATTACAGCCAATTTCTACTAATGTCTAGAATTTAAGACAAACTGTACCATGTTCAAACTTTTGTGAACTTTTTATGCGTTGGAAGCCTACAATGACATGAGCCCTACTGCAGCTAGTGTGGGAATGTGAACAAGGCAAGTCCCACTGAATACAAATGGGCTGAACCTAAAGAGATTCTGACAAGGGCATTTGTGAGCAAGAATCCACTACTTCAGAGGAAGTAGGTTCCTGCCTGCAAAAGCAGTATTCATACGAATCAGATCCCAAGGCATTAGACCAACTTGTCCTCTCAGATCTATTTCTAGCACTAGCACCTGCTCCTCCTCCTGTCTAAATATTGTCACAGAAAAAATGCTGAAAGCACTGGGCCATACACTTCTCCAAGAGAGTGGTGGGACTCTTTTGCTTTGCCCTTGCGGAGCTGGGAAGAGACAGTTTTCTCACCGCCTTGAGGATTTCTACTTGGTGGTGGCAACATGCATGGTCTACTGAGCTCTAGCAAAGAGGTTAGAGAACAGTCTCATCCCACAGAGACATTAGTACTGGATATTGCATCCGTCTATCTATCCTGTTCCAATCTTTTCAACTGCTAGGACAAGCTGACTTCATCTATACTTTAGAAATGCCACTAATGGCATAAGTTAATGCTAGTGAGCAAGTTAACAAGCTAATTCTAACTAGAGTTAGAAGCAAGAAAAAATAAAATCACTCAAAGCTGGAAACTTGCCAGATATTTAGTTCTATATAATCAGATGCTGAAAAGTGAAACGAATGTGCATAATTTAGCTTTGTGCATATTTCAACTATATGTTTGTGGCTGGGTTTTCTTCCCCCTTTAAATGTTGTTCTCAGAAAGCAGGCAAGCAGTTGAGGAAGAAGCTTCATGAGTCATGGAAAACTTGAGAACATGTCCATGTTGAGGTGATGGGGGAAGCTCAGGAACTGTTTTCTGTAGCGATCTACATCTCCTAACCACATCCCAACTCCCTCTAGATTCTACGAGTAAATGGTTAGCAATACCTATGAAGCCTACTGTTTCCAGAAGCTGCTCAATTCCGCATAAGAGCGCTGGCAGCAGGCTCCATACAGGCATGCAGCCCCATGTGTGTGATGCACAGAGACCATGAAGAGGAACCAGGCTTACCTCATATGGACAGTCCTTTGGGCTGGGCAGCCTTTTCCCTCTATCCAAAAGCTCTATAAGCCTCAGTACTGTCATTTGGCCCTGAGTTGCTCCAATCATCTCAATGAATTTCTAAGGCAACAGAGAAATAGATTACTATGTGCTCTGACAAGGAAGTGGAGAGATGCAAAGTTTCGCTGTTCATGAGAAGACTCCACAATGTACCAAACTGCCTTCCGCGCTGTAGGTTTCACGCTTTCCAGGAGAAACACTCCACATGCAGGACTACCCTGTAGCTTCTCATAATTTTAACTGGAACTTCAAAGCATTCCATTAGGAGCTCAGAAGGCATACTAGGACAGTGGTGACGAACCTATGGCACGCGTGCTGCAGCAGGCACACAGAGTCCTCTCTGTATGCACATGAGCCAAGTCATCCCAACATCTCCCCAGTAGCCGAGCATCAAATAACAACGCACATAGGGGGCGTGCACATGCTCAGAAAGGAGTGGTGGCGCCAGATGATGACATCACAAGCCACGACTCATTAGCTGCGACTTGTCCAAGCTTTCACATGGCCGGTCAGTGCGCTGCCAAGGATGGATAGATAGATAGATAGATAGATAGATAGATAGATAGATAGATAGATATACTTGTTTGGACTGGCTGTGAATTTTAATACATTCGTTTTTTATTAACAAGATTTTAGCTTTGAATTTTCTTATGAAAAATTGAAATTTAATATCTAAGATTTAGCAAAGAGATGTTCTAATTAAGAGACTGAGATTCTTTGAATGTTGTGCTGTGTTGTGCTGTCCCCCGGCATATTTGAATCTGCAGTGTTGGCACTTTGAGATAAGTAAGTGGATTTTGGGTTGCAGTTTGGGCACTTGGTCTCTAAAAGGTTCGCCATCACTGTACTAGGACAAGGCAGGTATATTTTAGCCCTTGAAACACTCCACTACACAGAAATGTGACTGCACAAGCTCCATGCTAACCTTCAACAACTGAACAACAAATGCAAGACATACCAAGATCCCTTAATTCCCAGCAGTGCTAAGCAAATGCCACCACCTTCCTTGATTGTAGATTAGACTCACCACTGGAGGGCTCTGACTTGAATCACAGCGTGTTAGGAGTTCATATAAAGTAACCCCAAAGGACCAAACATCAGAGGCATAATAGAATTTACACTCCTTCAGGCACTCCACAGCATACCTACAACATACCAAAAAACAGAGCTGGTGAAAATAGCAAATTAAAAGCATAAAATCTATTTTGCCCGATCACATAAAGTTCTTTCTTATCCAGAACCCTTTTTCAAGTAGGGACAAGTTAGACGCTTCTGCAAAGCTCACAAGTCAAGTGTAAAAATGGCAATCTCCTGTTTATCTCCAGTGGAATTACTAATATGGAATAGCAATTAAAAACGTAAGAACTGCCTTCTAAATTTATTTATTTATACATGTATTTATAGGCTGCCTATAACTGCCAAGGCCTTCTTAGATGGCCTTTAAATACATGGTCCATCTACTCAACTTTTTAATTTCCAATCGTAGCTAGACAGATGCCTTTAAAAGCTTACAACAAAACATGTCCTTCTGATATTCTTTTTAATGAGAGCCTTTTGTATTCAAGCCTCTTTTCTGGTGTTCATTTACATAGGCTGTAGAAACATGCAACTGTCACCATTTACTCCAGCTACTGCAGGAAGGAGAACAATCATTTCTGCAAAATTGAAATATATGGCAACATTCAATCAAAAGAAAGGATAACCTCCGAAGGGCACCTTGTTCTGTTACAGAACTTACATTTTCAGGTAGGGAGGTTTATTCACAGAAATATCCTGCCTTATCTCAGGATTGAAATTTCCCAAAGGCAGAATCTCTTTTGAGGCTTTGCCTCTTTGTTTTTTTCTTTCAGCACAGTGACTATATGGATGAGTTACGATGCAGTCATGTCCCTCATGAGTCTGAAAGCCATGCAATGTGATCTCTTACCAAAAGACAGGGCTGTCTCCATCTTCACAGACACGGTAATACTCATGACCTTCAGGGATGGCTTTGGCAAGACCAAAGTCTCCAATTTTCACAACGTTCTCATTCTCCAGGAGTACATTTCTGGCTGCCAGATCCCTGTGGATGTAGCGCAGGGAGTGAAGATAAGCCATTCCCTACAAAGAATAAACATGAGGTTATTCTCCCAACTCTGCAACAAGGAGACCAAAACTTCCAATATACCAAAAATCAGGGTCAAATGCCCTGAATCTCAGTGTAAAATGGGAAATTAGAGGGGGAAAATCTGCATCCTGAGCCAAAAAAAGTCATGTAAAGAAACCTCCAGTCTGCATTAAATATTACAGTCCATTCCTCTTCCACAACAGGAACAATAATCATAACAAATCTATATTATCTGCTGGATCAGCAGCTACATGAATTTGGCATCCACAGCTGAGGGGTTTACCTCACAGATCTGCTGAGCAAAGAGGAGAATATGGGCCAGGCTGACACTGTGCTTGGGAAGATAATCCCTCAGACTCCCCAAAGGCACATATTCCATAATAAGCTGCACCATCTTTTCCCCTGCAATTGAAAAATTCAAACAATTATTTCCATTATTCAAAAGGAAGTGTTCTTAGTTCTATCTTATTCCTTTCCTGCATTATTTATTAAAAGTTTTTCTATACCATCCCCTACAATGTCTCAGGACATCTTACAATAGGGTAAGGGTTAGGTGTTATGAGGCATGTGAGCAATCCACAGCTCTTGGGGATCCCTCTGGCAGTCTGTTGGGTTTCCTAGCCACAACCCCCCACCCTAAATGTCTCTCCCAGTGCCTGCTTTGAAGCATATGTCCCTCCTGCTGCTTATAAATTTGCTAGGCTCCATGGAGTCTATAAGAGGCTAGCAGACTCAGTGGCTGAGTGCAGATGCTACTAGTGTTTTCTAGAAGATCTTCTTGTACCCAGGTTCAGAGGGCTGACCAGAGGATTTCAGCTTGGTGCTGGAACTTGGTGCTCTTTCCAGTGTTTTGTGTACTCAGGTTGCTGCATCCACTCTGTACTTCTGCTGTTCAGAAAGAGGCTAATCTGAAAAACTAGCAAGAATGGAGGGCACTGGGGGTAGGCACACATGCAGGCATTCTGTGAGTGTTTGGGTGATCAGTGGAGTAGATAGGTGGGCTGGCTGGGGGGAGAGAGGCCACAACGGAGCAAGCGGGTTTGCTGGCATGTTGGGGACAGCATTTGAGAAGATGAATGTAGTGGGGAGAAGGGTGCAAGAAAGAGAATGAATGGATGAACAATGGACAAATTAATGGTTGTAGAAAAAGGAAAAACAAAACAAAGGGTTTCCTGACCACTTTTGCCTTGTTCAAGTAATACATTTTGTAGCTGCCTTTCAAGATTGCAGTCTTTCAAAACTCTAGTTTTTCTGCTTGCTGCTAGACATTTTTGCTGCCCCTCCAGATGACTGTTATGTGCCCCCAATCATTTTCCCACAAGCAAATCTAGCCCTTAACCCTGAAAAGTTTGCTCATCCCTGCTATATGGAATGGAGAATGACAGATAGCAACTAGTGCTGATGCTTATGGTGAGCTGTGACAGAAATCAAGGACTCTTAGAATCCAAGTCCAGTCTGTCAACTGGATCATGCACACAGCAGATGTAGGGCTGCAGATTGAGATAAAGTGGGGAGCAGGGATGAGGTAAGGCACAGAAATGGTGGGATGTCATCAGCATCTTACAAATCCAAACATTCCTCATTCTAATCAATCCACAGGGGAAGGTTCTTTTAGCGCCACCACCTTTGAAAGACAGACAAAGGAACTCTCATTCTAACTTATTTTTCAAGTCATTTCCCACAATTCCTAGAAATATCACAGAAGAGAACATGACTCTTCTGTAATTTCCTGTAGGACTTTCCCCCAAAGGTGCTCCTGTGCTAAGCCAGCTTATGTCTGGTCCTTGCAATGCCAACACAGCAGATGCTGTACCTTGCTCACTACAGCAACCCTTGTATTTGACAATGTTCTCGTGGTAAAGTGTCTTCAGGATCTCAATTTCCTTTTTCCAGCTGGTCAGCAGCTGTTGGCTACAGCCTGATTTCAGTGACTTCACTGCCACCATCTCACCAGTGCCATCATTGGTAGGATCATAGCAGTACAGACTCACTTTGCCAAAGTGACCCTAGAAGAAAGAAAAAGAAAGAAACAGGGTAGCCATCTGATAGTTCAGGAGACAAAAACCTCTAACCCCTCTTTCTGTGGGAACATTCACTGTACTGACTGGGTATACAGAATTTTCTCAGATAGAAAACTGATCTCAAGGACTTTTTTAGGCTTCATAATACAACAAACTTGTGCATGAACTAATCTGAGGGCAAGGAAAATATTATTTGCCCAATATTTGAATCAACTCTGCAGAGAGGGAGCCCAGCACTTGCACAGTTCAGTCTGCTCAGATAGATCCAGCTGATCCTAAGGAGGAGGCACAGAGGCAGAATTGGGCACATGACTTTTCAGTCTTAAGGTTATCCAGTGAAGATTCTCAGACAAAGCATGAGAACCAGCCTGCTTTGGAAAAGGAAGGAGACATTTCAGACATGGAGCAGAGGTGTGTGTGTGCTTCTTGACCTTGTTGTGAATCAACAGATGAAATGAGCACACCAATTAAGAAGTGCCTGGCATCCCTACTGTCTAGCTCTCTAGCAGCAGGAGCTTCTCTGAGAAAGGAAGAAAGGAGGGGAAGGGAAGAAAGGAGGGGAAGTTTCAGTTTAGATCTAACCCTTTACATGGGCAGATGCTACTTCCACATCTCAAAAAGAATGTTACATGGATTTATACTGTTCTGTAACTGTTCAGTTTAATAAAAGTAAGTTTTCTGAGTCTGCTGAAGAGGAAAAGAGGGAGGGAGGAACCTGCTCTTGACAGCTATAAGCCAAATACTGGATTTCAAAACCAAGTCTGAACTCAACTCTACTTCCTAGATTCCATTTCATAGTGAGAACAAAAAAAAAAGGGCAGCTGTGCAAACAATTGCACAGCTACGCTCCTAAAACAGTAAGGAGACTCTTTTCTTGGTATTAAGCATTTTATTATTATAGTTAGATATTATAGTATTTAAATATATCTTATATCTTACTAGATTGGGTGTTGTCTCTGTTTAATTGGTATTGTTTCTTTTATGGACAATTCTTTTGAAAAAATTTCCTATAAAATACAGTGAGAACATGATCTAGTCATGCTTTTTATTGTTATACGTTCTTCTTTCTATTTGTGACCCCACTTCATAGCCCACTTTACCTATCTCACTGGGTTCTATCTGACTGTGTTCTTCCATCAATGGAACTGACTCTACTGGGCAGATCAAACTTCTTCTGCCCACTGCAGCTCCAGTTTGCCCTCTGAAATATGCTCAAGAGAGTTAGAAGCCTCTCCACAGCAGATTTAGGAAAATGTAGGGACAAGGAAAAGAAGGGAAACCGCTGCCACACAAACCCTTAGCCGTTTCTATCAATGGACTAGTAAACCAGATGAGTCCACTATACCAAGTATTGAGGAAAACAGGCATGGACCTCTTGCGTGACCTGCACTAATTCTCAGCAAAGTAGTTGACAACTTAAAATAGAAAAGGCAAATGACATCCTAGGCATGTCAAATTGTGGTTATGAAAGCTTAGTGGTGGTTTGGTCTGATGCTTGCATTGACAAAACCATGGTTTTCAATCAGCCAGCAAGAAAGAATCAAACCCAGGGTTTTAACTAAGTTTGCAAACCATGGTTAATGGGGTGTCTGATGAACTATAGTTACAGCTACTGCTCTACCTCTGTAGATATTAATACTGAGCTAGACAGAAAATGACAGCATCCCAACAGCTCTATGGCTTGGAAGTTTAAACCATGATTTGGTTCCAAACTATGATTAGCATAAGCCCCGGGGTTTGGCATGATGTGTGAACAAAATATCAACGTGCATAAAATACACCTGTTACGCACACAACATTAAATTAACGAGTCAGACGCAGCAGGATTGCTTCAGCTAGATTATGCCCTCCTCCCCACCACGCCAATACACCCTGCCTGATGGCTGTACATTCAGCATCAGTGCAAAGGCATGCAGGCTCCAGTACAGGAGCCTCACACAGGCACAAGTATAAATGTTCAGCCCCCATCTGACTAGAAATGAACACCTGACCAAACTGGCAGGGACGCAGTTAGTGATGGGCACAATCTGCTCTTCATTTGCTCACTAAATATATGGGTTTGTGTACCTCATCACCACTTATGAGAGATGAAATTTCAGACTCTCATTTGTAACTGCTGGGTTTCAGGTGTGGAACTGAATGTTTGAATGGTCCCAACATATAAATGACTTGCTATATACAAAATAGTCATTGCAAACTGCCTGGAAAGCTCCAGCTATTGGGCAGAACAGAAGTTACATAAATAAAACATAATAATTCACATATAAACCTAGCACGTCAGAAAGAAGGTTCCTTTGTTTTTTCTTTGTCCATTTCATTTCTTACTTGGGATGAATTTCACAAGAAGAAGAAATGATGTTTCACTTCTAAAAAAGATCATTTACCTCACCCAGATCTCGGATCTTTTTCAGATACCGCTTCTGAAAGACAGTTGGGTCAGATACTGGAAATTCGGGATTCACAGATGTGATGTCAAGGGGGTCTGGAAAACACAAGGGAGGAGATCAAGTGAGACATGCACTATTTAGAAGGAAACAGATTCAAATGGCAAAATATAATGCATAATCTCAGGTGACCTGCAGTTAAACTAGAGGAAAGAAAAGGTAACAAAAGGCAGCCATGCCATGTAAGTCATAAATGACTGTTACTGAATTGGAGCAGAACTAGATTTTGTTTACTTCACAAGTTCTTTGTTTTCTGTTTGAGCCAACTGTACATTGTAGAATTCCTCTACTGTTCTATATTACCTTGGTCTGACTTTTCTTCTCTTGAGTTTTATATCTTATTACCCCATATTAATATTTTATTCTTTGCTTTAATATATGCTTTACACTTTGATTTTGACAGTCCCTGTCTTCAGAGTACTCCAAATTCATTAACTGTGATGGGGCCATAAACTGTTGTCCTTACCATACCTCAACTAGGTCTGGTTCATAGACAACCCCTCAAAAGCATTATGAGAGGGTGAGGAAGGGAGCCCAAATCCATAGTTTTACACAGAAGTGCTGCTATGAGCAACCTGCTGTCCTCTGGAATCCTTACTATGTGGCTGTAGTTGCGTAAGGTCTCGCAAGATGGTCCGGAATGATGGCCGCTCCGCAGGAGCATAGTTCAGGCACTGGCTGATTAACACAGCTAATTCTTTGAAAGATGGCTCCGGAAGGTGATGTTTTTTCTCATAGAAACGCTCTTTCTGTAGAAAAAACAACAGATTTATAAAGGCTGAAAACTGAAGTTAGGCTACAAATGGAGATTCCTCAGAATTTCTCTTGCTAAAATATTGCTGCCTTCACCACTACATCAACAAGCTTTAAACAGTCTTGTTTATACAAGACTGAAACTGAATCTCATGGATGGGCTTCTTATGACCATGAAAATCACTGCTAGCTATCCCGAGAATCCTAGCTCTCTCTCTCATACTTTACCAATTCTGGACCCAAAGTATATCACAAGAAAGATCCATAAGAAATCACTCATAATCAATTAAATTGCAACTCAAAAACAGAATGAAAATTATGTAATGTTATATATCTATCCAGTAATAAAAGGACAGTTTAAGATTTCCTCCAGACCTACTTACTACAAAGTAAGCACCATTGAATTCACTAAGACTTACTTTTGACTAGATGTGTAGGATTACATTGGTAACAGGTAAAAAGCATTATCACCCCCCCCCCAGTTGCAAATGAAGCTAAGGGAACAGAAGCTTTGGCTAAGGCCACTTAGTGAGCTCATAGCTGGAGAACATCCTAGCTCATAGCCATTATTTCTTTTAATAATCACCAGCAGCAGCACATTGCATTTATATCCTGCCTTTTTTCCTCTGGTGAGGACACCCCAAGGCAGCTTATATAGCTCCACTTTATCCTTATCACAACTACCCTGTGAGGTAGCATAGCTTGAGAGTCTCTGAGTATCCCAACATCACCCAGTGAGCTTCATGGCTGAATGGGAACTAGAATCCAGATCACCTAGATCCCCAGTCCAATATACCATACCACATTGGCTTCTTTGTAGAATGGAATTTCCTGCTACTGCCCCCAGATAAAAACTTAAAAGGCTAGTTCAACATATTTATTCTGTCTCCTTATGTGCTCTAGATCCTTTTATTAGGCATCTATAACCTAGCCAAGCCAGCGTGGTGTACTTATTATGACTACGACTTGGGAAACCCAGTTTCTAGTCCCCAGTTGGTTGACTGGCTGCAAGTCACCCAGTCAGAGACTCTTGGCCTAATCTATCTCACCCAGAATAAAATGGAGAGGAGGAGTGGATCCTTGCAAGAGGAAAAAAGGAAAGGTATAAATTTAATAACAAGAACAGTAATGATAGTAAAAGTAACAACAACAAAGCAGGTCTAATAATGGTAATAATAATAACTAACAGTAACCCTGTAGAAGAGTTACTGTTATTGTCTGCACATCTATTTCTTATTTCCTGCCCAGCAGTTTTATCTCCAAACCTGAGCAAGCTATGAACCAGGTAAGCCAGTTTCTGCAGGCAACCTGCATCATACCCTTCAGTAAGGTTGGGGGTGGGGGTGTTGCATGGAGACATGGACAAAAAAGAACTGGATACAGAAGATACCTCAGAAGGAGTACGTTCTTTTAGTGGCACATCTGCATCAAAGCATATCTCCAGGAGAGTAGTACCAAAGCTCCACTTGTCAGCCGCCGTACTGAGGTTGCTCACATTTTTAACACATTCTGGAGCAATCCATGGGATCCTGTCAACCCGCTCTTTGCAAGCAAAAAAAGAAATCAAGGATTAGTGGTGTCCTGAAGGAGAACATACAGATGAATACACACATGCTGTATCTGGCATGCATAATGTAGATACAGCTAAAGTATTAGGGGTCATTTAAATACTGACCTACATAGGAGTAGTCTGCACACGAGACCCCACAGAATGTAATGTACCATGTGGATATGGCGTAAGCAGCCACTTGACTCTTGCAGTTCTTCACCCACAAAAATATGGAGGTGTATGTACACTGCCTGCATTTTGTCTTCCGTTTTTATGTGTATGAGCTAATACATGAAGCCTCTGTAATTGCTCTCCCACTGTGCAATGGCAGACTTATTGTCCAAGTAAGGCTTTTAAACTGGACATTTGTTTTAGTTGTTACAAGTTACTGTATTACACAAAGCTGGACATGTACCTCATATAAACAATTCTCAGGGATGATTTTTCTGAATAAGACAAGAGGGGCCTAGGTTCAGATGACATGAAAGCCCACTGTGAGCTGAATAACCCCTAGAAGTAGTCATAAAATATCTGTGGCTTTCTACCCCAAAATAAGCTACCTTGCAGGAAGCAATCTCAGTTCATAAGACTAATTACCCATAATGGGCTGTCACGTTGTACAAACCCAATCAATGGCTATTAGGGTTAGATAAGTTCAGGTTCATCAATGACTTGACCTGTTTTCTAAAGAGCTAAATGGACTTTTCATGGAACAAACTAGAGATGAGAGGAGCAACTATGTTTTGTGGAATATCTGTGCTCTTCATTAAAGCAAGGGGCTGCAGGGGAAGTCTAATTTTATACAAAGAGTAGCGTATAAACTGGCACCCCAGCAATTTCTTCCTCACACAGCTACAATATTGGTAGTAAACAGAAATGTGAAGGAAAGTGGCTGAAATGGCAAAACACAAGAAAGTAAGAAGAGAAGAAGGAAGAGTTCAGCTTTGTTGTAAAGATTAAATCTCCTCCCATCCCTATTTATATATGAACAAGACAGACATAAGCAAGTATGGCTGCTGTACTCAAAACTACTTTGGTCCCATAATCACATACAATATATTTCTGAGCACCAGATATTGGGAGGAAAGAAGGAATGGGCCTCCTATATCATACCCTGTTTATATGCCTCCAAGGAGCATTTGGCTGGTCACTACTAGAGACAAACCTTTTTGTCTGGTAAAGCAAATACTATGCTTTCAGCTGTGATACTTGTGTCTAGCTAGACACCACAGAAGAATAAGAATACACTAAATGTCAAGAAGATTCCAGAATCTCCCATTTCTCTAAAGACGCCACAGAACCAATACAGAGTTGTTTTGATGCTCATTCTTGTTTGGGGCAGGAAACATTTATGCTGGGTCCTCTTCTGAAATAACATTCAGTCTTGCATGAACAAATCAGGGTCACAATTTATACAAGATCAACTATTAACAAATGGTTCTTCAGGAAGTTCTTCCCTGCTTCCCACAAAATTTCTGATGTAAAATCACATTTGGACAAACATTTATGTTAATCATTCCTATAGACATACAACAGTTCAGGCATCTTTCCTTACAAACAACTACATTTCCATACACAAGTCTTGCAGCCACAATGCAATAGCATCTTCCTTGCCCAACCCCATGAAGGCAAAAGTGAAGAGAGAATCAGCAGGGCCTACCTTCTCGGGAGAGTACTGTGAAGCTGACTCCAGGGTCACTGAGCTTGATGAAGGGCATCAAGCCATCATCCAAGCCTTTCCTAGCCAACAAGATGTTCTTGGCACATACGTTGCCATGCACCAGGTTTTTGCCTTCCTATTTAAACAAACACATAAAACAGTCTGCAAAAAGCCCCATCTCCACCTACGTCAGATGCACTTCATAAGAAAAATGTTCATTCATTAGCAGGAAATAGAGTGAACTTCCATCTCCAATTCTGTGTAAGCAACCCAGTCATTGTTCCACAGTGGCTCAGCTTCCTCATGGGGCCACTTAAGCAACAATCAGAAAGCTTTCTGGTTCAGGAGTTAAGCCTACGATACTTTGCAATGCCATAAATTCCCTGTAAGCAAAGCAGTTAATTATCTGTGCCTCAGCTTCTCTTCTGTGCAATGGAGAAAGCAACCTGAGCTTACAAGTGCTGCTGATGATTTGGGCATTTCGAACCGGAATAGCACAGGCTTGGAAGCATGCAAGTTCACTTACGTGCCTTAAGGCTGGATCATCATGACCCTAGAAACTGCAAGTCCAAGTCTTAAATGGTTTAACAATGGATAACCATGTCTAGCCTTCTGACCCTATCTGGTTATAGGAATCAGTGGTGCTTCTTAACATATGATTCTCTCACTCCTGCATCTTTCAAGGAGGTTCCCAACATCAAAATAACAGGGGACACTTTTACATTGTTTTAATGGTCATTCTTCTCAGAGCAATGCAGTTTTGTGAGGCTAAGAAGAATCTATAATCAATACCCACACAAACTGCAATTCCAAAGATTTTGTGGAGAAAGCCTTGGAAATTAAAGTTATATATGACAGATATTAATGTTTAGTAGTGATCTGGTTCTACCCAGAAGTGATCTGGTTTTTACACTCCCAGGAGGCCCAATTCAAATCCACCCCAGGAAACTTACCAAATAAGTCAGGGCGCTAGCTAACTGTGCAGCAACAGTGAATTTCCAGCCCACTGTTATCCGCCCTTTGTTTTTCCGCAAGAAGACATCCAGGGGACCATGTTCAATGTACTCTTCCACCATTATATCTGAGAGCAGAAAAAGGAGAGACTCTGAAGTAAAAAGAGGCTTAGTATCATTGCTTCACAGCAGCAAGGGAACTGACTGAGTGCAACTCATGAGCAGAAATGGGAAAGAGCTGTTTTGACTGCTGTTAAAAGTTTTAAGATGATCACAAAAGGGAGATAGATCACCGGCCGGGGATGGAAGGTACATGTGACCACCAGAGAAATCTATCATGAGAGCATTAGAAGAGCCTTGCAGAATCAGACCAAAGGCTGGCCAGCATTCTGTCTACATAATGGTAAACCAGTTGCCTCCCGGAAGCCCACAAGCAGGGCATAAGCACAACAGCATCCTCCTGCTCATGTTCTTTATCAACTGGGATGCAGGGGCATATTTATATTGGAGATTGAAGGTGAAGGTTTCCCCATGACATTACAGTCCAGTCATGTCTGATTCTTGGGGACAGTGCTCATCTCCGTCTCCTAGCCAAGGGGGCCAGCGTTTGTCCGCAGACAGTTTCCATGGTCATGTGGCCAGCATGACTAAACACCAAGGTGCACAGAACGCTGTTACCTGCCCACCGAAGTGGTGCCTTTTTTCTATTTGCATTTGTATGCTTTCAAACTGCAAGGTTGGCAGGAGCTGGGACAGAGTACAGGAGCTCATCCTGTCTGTGGATTCCAACTGTCGACCTTTCAATCAACCAGCCCAGCGGCTTAGCAGTTTAACCCACTGCGCCACGGCATCCCCATATTGGAGATTATAGCATCATAATTAGCACCCATGAATGGCCAATAGCCTTATCCTTTACAGGTTTGTCTAATCTCCCTTTGAAGCCATTCAAGTTGGCACCCAACACTGTAACTTGCAGCAGATGTCAAGAAATGATTAAACATGGGTAATTTGTGTCAGAAATGGCATCAGGCAAGGAAAAATGTTGAAACTTGAGGAACTATTAAAAGGCAACAATTGCATTTCAAAGAACAGACAAAGCATGGATTGACACTCACTTTCTGAGCCCCATACACAAACCCCGTGAACAAAAGCCAAATGGATGTGGGAGACCTGGCTCATCAGGCTGGCTGTTTCAAAGAATGCCTACAGGGAGAAGAGGGGAGACCATCAAATGAGAGCCACTATCCAAGGAACACAGCTGGGGCAGAACAAAATAAGGGGGGGGGGG